AGTGAGAACTGCTGGGCTGCAGTAATTAGTTTGATTTTATATTACCATCAAAATCCTTGAGCCAGTTCTTCTGCACTTTACCCTACGTACCTAAAGAAGATGCTGAAAGGCCATTTCCTCTGTGTGTGTGTGTGGGGGAGGGTGTGTGTGTGGTGTGTGGTGTGTGGTGTCAGAGAGACAGACAGAGAGAGGGAGGGAGGGAAAGATGGAGGAGGGGCAGGGAGAAGGGACAGGCTCCCCTCCCACAGCGCCAAGCTGTATCTCTCCCACTTGAAGTGTTTCCATGCCAACCAAAATCCTCAATCTCTAGGAAACCCCATATACAAAGTGCCCCTGTATAGGTATCCAGGCTCAGAGAGATCCTGGCTCTCTCTGACTCTTAGGGTGATGGCTTTCAGAGTTTTCTTACTGTGAGTCACAGTAAGAGAGGGAGGGAGGGAGAAAAAAGAGAGAGAGAGAGAAAGAGAGAAAGAGAGAAGAGAGAGAGAAAGACATACCAGCAGGTAAACTTGAAATAAAAGCTTCACGGAGACTTTCCCATATTAAACTCTGAAACACTCTGCCCCCTTCTTCTGTTCTGTTCTATTTCAGTTTTAAAAATGCTACTCAGGACCTTCAAAATTGGTTTCATGACCCACTAACTGGTCATTCAACCTGCAATCTGAAAATCACTGCTCTGGAGGGCCAGAAAAAGGCCACAGGGAAAAGCCATATAATATGGTTGAGAATAGGTTTTGAAGCCCAACTGCCTGGGTTCTAATCCTGTATGCAGCACAAATCTGTAGCATCTCTATATACTAATAATGGTCAAACTGAGAGCCAGATCAAAGACTTACGCTGTTCACAGTAGCTGCAAAGGAAACAGAATACCAAGGAGGTGAAAGATCTCTACAAGGAAAGAAACTGTGGATGACGTAAACAAATGGACAAACATATCACGCTCATGGGTTAGTGGAATCAACATTGGCAAAATGTCCATCACACCCCAAATAACTTACAGATTCAATGCAATACTCATCAAAATACCAACAGCCTATTTCACAGATCTAGAGAACATAATTCTGTAGTTTGGAACCAGAAAGGAGCCCAAATAGCAAAAGCAACTTTAGGCAAAAAGAACAAAGCTGGAGGCATCACATTCCTAGACTTGACAGAATACTAGCAGACTATAGTAACCAAAAGTGCATGGAATTTGTACAGAAATAGAGACGTAGACCGATGGAACAGGATAGGGAACATAGATGTGAAATCATCTACTTACAACAGCGGTTCTCAAACTGTGGGTTGCGACCCACAGGAATTGTATTAAAGGGCTGCAGGATTAGGAAGGTTGAGAACCACTGACTTACAGCCACTGATCTTTGACAAAGCAGACAACATCACACACTGGGGAAAAGAAGCCCCACTCAGTACACAGTGCTGAGAAAATTGGACAGCCACATACACAAGGATGAAACAGAATCTATCTCTCACCACTCACAAAAATGTAAGACATGAAGCCACAGAATTCTAGAAGAAAAGGTAGGAAAAACTCTTCTAGACACTGGTCTAGGCAAATAATTTATGCCTGAGGCTGTAAAGGCAATTATAGCAGCAACAATAATAGTTAAATGGGACTTGATTAAACTGAAAAGCTTCTGCACTGTAAAGGAAATAATCAACAGAGCAAATAGACAACCTACAGAATGGGAGGAAATATTTGCAAACTACACACCCGATAAGGGGCTAATAACCGGAATCTACACAGAACTAAAACAAATCAGCAAGAAAAAAAACTAACAACCCTGTTAAAAAGTAGGCAAAAGACATGAACAGAAGTTTTCTGAGAGAAGATGAACAAATGGCCCACAAACATGAAAAAATGCTCAACATCACTAATCATCAGAGAAAAGCAAATTAAAACCACAACGAGATGTCCCCTTACTCCTGTTAGAATGGTTTTTATTCAAACATTCAAAAACAATAGATGATGGTGCAGATGCTGAGAGAAGGGGGTGCTTATCCACTGTTGCTGGGACTGCAAATTAGGGTAACCTCAGTGGAAAACAGTATGGAGATTCCTCAAAGAGCTAATAATAGACCGTTCAACCCAGCAATCTCACTACCCAAAGGAAAATAAGTCAGTAGATCAAAAAGACATCTGCGTTTGAGTATTTATTGCAGCATGATTCACGATAGCAAAGATATATCAACCCAAGTGCCCACAAGTTCACGAGTGGATTAACAAAATGATGCCTTTTACAAGGGATAAATTCATGCCTTTTGCATAATTTGGAAAGAACTGGAGATCACTATCCTAAGCAAAGTATCTCAAGAATGGAAAAGCAAACGCCACATGCACTTTCTAATAAATTGGAACTAACCAATGGGCAATAACCAAGGAAAGTAAAAGTCGTTGGAAATCCAGCGGTGGAGTGAGGGGGAGGAAAGGAAGGGCGTGACCCCATCCAACAGGTGCCGTGAACACCATTCAGGCGATGGGCACGTTTATAGTCCTGATTCACGCTATGTATCAAAACATCTGTACCCGCTTAATACATTGAAATAGAAAACAGTCTATGTGCTGTGCAGCCTTGGCTGAGTCCCTTCGCTTGGTCTGTGCCTCAGCTTCTTTATGTCTTTGTGAACATAGTAGTGGTACCCACTTCATGGATTTGCAGTGAGAATGAAATAATGTCATTATTGAGAAGTGCTTAGGGCAGTGCTGGGCACGTAACATGCTCCGTACTTGCCAGCACCCGTGTGACAGTGACTTTTGCTGTGTGCCAGGTGCTCACAGGGCTGGGCATGGCCTGCTGAGGTCGATGGTTCCATTCTTCCCTTTTTGTAGATGAAGGGCCAGCAAAGAGCTAGTAAGAGGCTCATCAGGATCAGAACTTCCCGCTAAGGGACTCCAGAGCCTGAGCTGTTCTATCACGGAGCCCGGGGCCTCTCAAGTTTGCCTGAAGATAGAGAAGGGTGCTCTCAGTTGTTAAAATACACAGATCCTCAGGCCCAACCCCACATAGATGAGATTGCCAGCTCTAGGGTAGGGGTCTGAAAATCTTCATTTTAGGGAAACTTTTACATTATCTAGTGATCAGGTGAGGTTTGGAAACGTTACCCAAGAGGAGTGTCAGAGGGGGCTTGTTAGGCAGGGTCCGGCCAGTGGGAGTTGTGTCTTTGGGGTTCAGGACTGGTTAGCAGGCCCTCTCCGAGCACATGCCAGTTTCCAAAGTTTTGGCCACTCTTATCCACCTGGTCTACCATCTGCTGGCCTAGACGCTGATAACCACCATCGCCCCAGGGGTGGCCTGTCTAGTCCAGCTGCATTTTTACTATATATCAGCTCCTTTCCACCATGGACCCCTCAGTGAGGCTGCCGTGATCACCATTTTCCTTTTATGGAGGTAGGAACAGTGCCTCAAATTACATCTGTAACTTCCTAATGTTCTTCAGCCAGTGTTCCGGGTCCCCACTTCTTGAGTTGTCCCTACCAAAATGTACCACGTCACCTCCTTGGCCAGGGATGGTGGAGGCTTCCCTTTCCTAGATGCTGGGTCCTTGTGACAGTTTTCGAAGCACGCGTGCTCACATGTTGGAGATGAATGAGAGTCTCTTTTCGAATTCTGTATACTCTTTCCTGTCCTAGCGGCTCCATTTTCAAATGCATTTGTTTTGCCGTTTTTAGTTTGCGGGATAACAACATCTCAGACCGAGGCATCTGCACGCTCGTCGAACGCGCTGTTCGCTGTGAGCCACTGCAGAAGTTAGCGTAAGTCAGCTGGGGCTGTGGACACTGGGTCCCACGTCCCCTCACCTCACTGCAGGGCGGGGCAGGGGTGAGTGGATGATGGGCTGGGGCGGGAGTGTTTGCAGAAGCAGGTGCGGGTGACCCCTGTGTGGTGGGAGCAGGCAGCGCTGTGGTTGAGTGCTCACTACCCACCCTGTTCTGTCTCTGTGTCTCCTCCCTGCTGGAACTTCACAGTCTGTTCAACAACAAACTGACCGATGGCTGTGCGCACTCCATGGCCAAACTCCTCGCATGCAAGAGGAACTTCTTGGCCTTGAGGTGAGCCTGGGGTTTCCCTATTTCCTGGAGACTGTTTTTTTTCCTACGGTTGAGTCATTCTGGTCTGGCCCTGGCCCTGGCCCTGCCCACACTAGGCTGGTGACCTCCTGACTCAATACAGGGCCATTGTTCCATATTGAGCAGGATTTCTGTAATGCCAGGACACAGGCCCCCTTGCAAATGCTGGACGGGCTTTGCTGAGGGCTTCCTGCCTTCTGACCTTTGTCCCGCAGGGCAGAGACAAGTTTGCAGACCGTTCTGTGTCTAAGAGTGTCAACATGCTCTTGGGGGCTACCAAGTTTTCCAAAGTTTGTTGAGCATGTCCCACTGAGTGGGGGGCATACACAGTCTTTGCCACCCCAGCCATGGCAGCCAGTGGCTGACTCCCTCCCAGAAGGTCCTTTCTCCACTTGAGGTGTGTGGGCTTTGCACTCCCAGCTGGGAAGTCTGTGTTTCTGCTGCTCCAGAGCCTCCCAGCCTCAGCTCCAGTCTCTCTGCTACGTGACACTTTTAAATTGTCACTCCAGCTGGTTCTTGGGTTGGCATGGCTTCCCTGCCTCTTGGATGTTCTTGCCTCCGGTGATTTGTGAGGCAGTATAAGAAAACAAGGCAAAGAATTGCTTCTATCCATTTTTTCTACCTTATGGGCTGGGTTTGGGGATGAGAGCTGCCATTTGTGTCCCCCATTCTCTTGTAAAATGGGGATAATAATTATAGCTGCCTGTCTTAGGCCACCTAGTGTTACTGAAAATGAACACCTGAGGCTTTATAAATTAATTTATAAAGAAATTTATAATTATTATAAAGAAAAAAGATTTATTTGGCTTAAAATTCTGAGTGGGAAAATTCAAGCTTGGGGATCTGGGGAGGGCCTCAGGCTGTTTCCACTCATGGCAGAAGGTGGAGGGGCTGGTGTGTGCGGGGACCATATAGTGACAAGAAGGAGAAAGAAGGGGCAGGTGCCAGGCTCTTTTTAGCAGTCAGGTCTAATGGGAACTAATAGAGCGAGAACTTACCATTATCACGGGGAGGCCACCAAGACATCCGTGAGGGGTCTGCCCCCAGGACCCAAACCCCTTCTATACGGCTCCCCCTCCAACACTGGGGATCAAATTCCGACATGAAATTTTAGAAGGGACAAACATTCGTGCTGTAGCACTGCCTCGTGGGTTGACAATTCAGTGAGTTCATATATGTAAAGGGCTGGCACCGTCTAGTAAGGGCTTTCAATTAGAAGTTCAGTGGCAGAAAGATAGTGGGTAAATCAAGTAAGCCCTCAGCCTGTTTATTCTTATATTAGTCTAGTCCTCCAAGAAGGGATTAAACGTGCAGCACGTTTACTGGGGAAAATTCCTATGAGAGAAAGTGGGGAGGCCAGGCTTTCTGAGTGAAGGAGAGAGGGAAGGATGGAAGGTTGGAAGGAAGTGCCTTGGATGTCAGTGCTGTCCTGAGAGATTTCAGCAAGGCTGCTGGGGAGTCCTTGTGCCAAGTTGAGCCAGCAGAGGAGTCTCCTGTCTCAGTAATGCTTTGCGCGGACACCATGATGTTTGATTTCAGAGCACGACCGTTGGGCCCTTAGTTAGGTCCAGGGACCTGAGGTTGGAGATTGCAAGGCGAACAGTTGCCCTATAGGCTTGCTGTAAGCCAGGTAGCTTAAAAGGCCTTTGAAAAGATTAAAGCATTTATAGTATTATTATTCCAGGGGTTGTGGGTGAGAATTCTGGGGACTTCTCTGAAACTGTGTCTGGGTTTCCGTGTAGCTGGAGTCTTCCTTGCTGGGGGTTCCCCCAGCCCTGTCTTATCCCTGCCTCCTTCCCCACTTTCCAGAAGGCTCAGCGGGAACTCCCTCTCTCTCCCAGCCGCTGCGGAGCTGAGAAGTCTGGGAAGGCTGCGCCAGAGGTCACAGTGGGGTCTAGACCAAAGGTGACTGAGTCTGGCGAAAGGTGTGACAGTGAGTCACTCTTACTTCCCTGGGGAATCCACCTCCCAGGACAGCTGCCTATTGTGACTCCTGCCCAGACCTGTCACACTGCTTTGCAAAGCAGCTCTCACCTCCCCGCCCCTTTCTCTTTGCTGGTAGAAACCGTGGGAGCCATTGAGTAAGCTTCCCCCAGGAGGAGCAGGCGCCCTGTGCTGCTGCCTGCAGGAGAGGTCCTCAAAGCCTTCTGTGTCTCTGGCCCAGCGCACTGATGGGTCTTTTCTGCAGCCTCAGCTGTGCTCTCTCCACTTCTCTGTCTTCTCTTTCAGGCTGGGAAATAACCACATCACCGCTGCGGGGGCCCAAATGCTGGCTGAGGGGCTCCGGGCCAACACCTCCCTACAGTTCCTGGGGTAGGTTGGACTCCAGGGAAGTGGGACCTACATGGAGGGGTTGGAGACTTCTGAGGATTTAGGGGCTGGTGAAACTCTTCAGCCGGCAGGTGCCAGAGGCACCTAGGTGACAGTGAGAAGGGACAGCCAGGGAGAAAGTGGTCAACCCTTTGCTGCCTCCACACTTGCTGCTTCACCTGATAAACAGGAAGTCTAGGATGGCAGGGTGGGGGGAGGGCAGTCCCCACAGGCTGCTGACAGGAAGCCTCTGCTCCTGGGGTGCTCAGGGCTGGGCCTTTGGGTGCACAGTGAAAGCAGTTGGGAGCTCTACAGGACGCTGCTGCCTGGGCTCCCCTCCAGACTGATGAAGTGAAAGGATCTTGGGGCAGGACCTGGGATCAGTGACCTTAAAAAGCTCCCCAGGGCACCTGCAACTGGTGGAGGGGGGTAGGGGTGAGAACCAGTGACCTAGGAAAGACAGGGAAATGGGGAAGGATGGGCATGGCTGGGGACGTCAGGGCACGATCCAGGGCCCCTCAGAGCTCTTGCTCCCTGTGGGCCGCAGTGGGGCCTGCCAGGAAGGGTCCCCCGGCTTGTGGGGTCCAAGGGTGGAGCTGCCTCTGCTGTGTAGAGTGAGTGGTGTTATCCCCAGAAGCTATTCTACTGGCCTGTCATGCCCTGGTGTGACCTGGGGTCCATTTCACAAGAACTGGGGATTTTAGAACTTGAGACTGTAGGAAGAGACAATAGCCTTGGGACCCAGGGGTTACGTCCCACTTCCTAAGCGAGAAAGTTGCCCACAAGCTCAGGGCAGAACGGGACTGTGTTGCTCTGGAGACAGCACCTTTGCCCACGGCCTTAGTAGCAGCACAGTCTAGAACAAGGAGGCCACAGCCCCTCCCACCAGCTCTCTTCTGCCTGAGGTCACATCTGTCACATTTGAGGTCACATCTGTCCTATCTGGGGCATTTACTTTTCTTCTAACAGATATTTATTAGGGTCCCTCTCTGGGCCAGGCGTTGTACTAAACCCACCAAGCACTGTCATATGATACACGCCGTTCTATAACTTGCATTATTTATTGATTTATTTTTGCTTCGTAATATTTTATAGGAATTTTTTCAGGTCATCATGACCTCACTTTTAAAAGGAGAACCACATAGTATTCTACCGGGTGAATATCCACAATCTATTAAATCAGTGGTTCTCAACCTTCCTAAGGCCACAACCCTTTAATACAGTTCCTCATGTTGTGGTGACCCCCACATATGAGGAGCAGTGTCTCGGTTCCTAAGACCATTGGAAAGCACATATGATCCCCCCGTTGATACATGCTTACGTAGTTTTCAGGGTTTTTGCTACCCCCAGAGCACAGAGAGGTATTGACATACAGCCAAACCCAGTAAAACTTTACTGAATGAACAAAAATGCAGCCAACCTCCCGGTTCAGCTGTCAAAAGGTGTGAGCTGTGCTCTGCCTTTTAAAAAGGGCTGTTTCCAAATTATAGTGGTTAAGAGGAGGCTGACCCAGAAGGTGGAAGAGTTTAATGCCATGGATGGTGCCTGTGGCTCAAAGGAGTAGGGCGCCGGTCCCATATACTGGAGGTGGTGGGTTCAAACACAGCCCCAGCCAAAAACTTCAAAAAAAAAAAAAAGAAAAGAAAAAGAAAAAAATGTTTAATTCCATTAAGGTATGGAGGTGTTAACACGAAGCAAGAAACCTAGCACTCTGGGAGGCCAAGGTGGGTGGATCGCTTGAGCTCAGGAGTTCGAGACCAGCCTGAGCAAGAACGAGGCCCCATCTCTAGTAAAAATAGAAAAACTAGCCAGGTGTGGTGGCAAGCACCTGTTGTCCCAGCTAGTCAGGAGGCTGAGACAGGAAGATCATTTGAGCCCAAGTTTGAGGTTGCTGTGACCTATGATGCCACAGCACTCTAGCAAGGGCGTCAGAGTTAGACTGTCTTAAAAAAAAAAAAGAAAAGAAGAAAGAAAAGAAAAGAAGCAGCAGCAGGAGATAAAGGGCCGGCTTGTGGAGGAAGTGGGACTTACCCTGAGTGGGCACAGAGGGTAACTAAGTACTGTAGGTGGCCGTTCCCAGGGAGCAGGTCTGAGCTACAAGCCAGGGGAATGTTACAACTGTGTGACTTCCCCTCCCCGAGGATTGGGTTGGGTGGGCTCCTGCTATTCTTTAAGTATAAAAGTATTCTTTAAAGGTGCTGAAAACTCTGTGTGCAGTTTGGCCAATCCCCCAAGAAGATGGAGGCAGGTCTATTCTGCTGGGACCAGGTGCCCCAGGGTTAGACCTCTCTGGAATTGGGTGGTCCTGTGCCTCTGGCTGAGACAACAGATGTGCTGGCACAGATCCAGGAGACATGCTGGGTCCTCTCTAACACTGTCTGTTCACTCTCTTGGCCTTTTTAGGTTGTGGGGCAACAGAGTGGGCGACGAGGGGGCCCGGGCCCTGGCTGAGGCCTTAAGTGATCACCAGAGCTTGAAGTGGCTCAGGTAAGTGAGCTTGAGAGTCGATCAAGCAGTTGGCATGGTGAAACCAGGTGAAGAGGGAGTAGCTTGAGCCAGTTTTAAAGGTCTTTGAGCTTCATTTCTTCCTCCTTTTGTTAGGGAGCGAAGGAAGTAAGGAAGAGAAAACACTGGATTTGGAATCAGGACACATGAGTCTGTCTTTCTGGATGAGTTTGGAGATGTCACTTGTCTTTTCAGGGTCTTTATTATCTAAATTGAAGACCTTGGGCTGGATCAGGCTCCTTTTACCTTAAAGACCAACTTCAGTCTGTTGATAGAGGCTGCCCAGTGGACCATGTTGAGAAGGATTTGAAGGTGCCCCGGGCTTAAAGAACACTGTAATCAATTAGTCATGTCAAGGTCAGGCACAGTGGCTCATGCCTATAATCTTAGCATATTGGGAGGCTGACATGGGAAGATTGCTTTCAGGACAGGAATTTAAGACCATTCTGAGCCACATAGCAAGATACTATCTCTAAAGAGATAAAGAAGCAAAATTATCCACCATGGTAGGGGCACACCTGTGGTTCACTTCAGGCTGAAGGTGAGAGGATTGCTTTGACGGTGCAGTGAGCTATGATGATGCCGCTGCACTCTAGCCCAGGTGACAGGGCAAGACTCTGTCTCAAAAAAACAAAAATTGTGGTTCAAGCAGCTAAGGCACCAGCCACATACACCAGAGCTGGAGGGTTCGAATCCAGCCTGGGCCCACCAAACAACGGCTGCAACCAAAAAATAGCCGGGAGTTGTGGCGGGCACCTGTAGTCCCAGCTACTTGGGAGGCAAGGCAGGAGAATCCCTTGAGCCCAGGAGTTGGAGGTTGCTGTGAGCTATGGTGCCAAGGAACTCTACCCAGGGTGACAGCTTCAGGCTCTGTCTCAAAAAACCCACCAAAATTGTGATGGCTTAGAAAAATACTAAGGAAGAGCATTGTGGTCAACTCGTGGTCTCCGTAATGGGGAGACTAGGAGTGCTATGTGTTTTGCTCATCTCTGGGGTTCTTCCCTGCTCCGACACGGCTTAATCTCATGTCTATATTGTCCAGCCTGGTAGGAAACAACATTGGCAGTGTGGGAGCCCACGCCTTAGCACATATGCTGGAGAAGAACACCACACTGGAAGAACTCTGGTAGGTTTGGGGGATTCCTTGTTCCGGGGAGGCAGGTGACAATTGTTTCCCTGGCCTCATCCATAGAAGCAGTTGTGTGGATGACTGGGTGATTGATCGTTTTTGGCTTTATCTGTACTGAGTGGTATGAAGCTTACAGAGTGTGGTACATGGGTGCTATTTCTTTTTATTTAATTAAATGTATCGGCTTGCTGGTTTGTTTATTGCCTCCTCACGGCATAATAGTCAAGAGCACAGACTCTGGAATCAAGCAGGCTGTGATCTAAGGCAGGTTAAAGAACAATCTCTGAATCTCGGGTCACACCTGTAAAATGCAGGGCATGGGGGCTCACACCTGTAATCTGAGCACCGTGGGAGGCCATGGTGGGAGGATCCCTCGAGCTCAGGGGTTCGAGATCAATCTGAGTAAGAGTGAAGTACCTGTCTCTATGAAAAATAGAAAAATTAGATGGGCATTGTAGCAGGTGCCTGTAGTCCCAGTTACTTGGGAGGCTGAGGCAGGAGGTTTGCTTGAACTAAGGAGTCTGAGGTTGCTGTGAGCTAGGCTAATGCCATGGCACTCACACCTGGGAAACAGAGTGAGACTCTGTCTCAAAAAATACATGCATACATACATCCATACATACATAAAAAAGAATGTTTCCAACTATAAAAGATTTTTGTAAGAATTAAATAAAGTGATAGCTATAAAGAGCATAATCTAGCGCCTGGCATATGTGTAAGTAAGTGCTCTCCATACATGTTAAATTGTCACAGTGGCAGGGTCACTGTGATGCTGCCATTACTGCTGCTTCTGCTGCTATAACGACTTCTATTAGTACATGAATACTACGATCATACACTTTTGTTATTTCAAAGTGAATTTGAGTTTCTAAGAACACTGGGTATTAGGGTCAGGGATCTCTTTGGAAGGTGGAAAGGAGTTTGGGATGATTGAAAGATGAACAATGAATTGTACTTATACCATTGACCTGAAGCATATCCCAAGTTTTTCATCGTATAGATGCCACCAAAATAGTCTTCTGATATGTCGGGGTCAGGGCAGTCCCAGGTTATATTGGGGAGATAAATCAGTGAATGTTTGATATTTCCAGGAAGGAGAAAAGCACTGAAACATACTGGCATTGTCACAAACAGATATCGTGAGTGGACCTTGGCTGTTGGCAGGGTTCACGGCTCTACTAAAGTATCGTTGATTATATCCTGATTGGATTTTGCTACTTGGAATTTCATAGAAGAGGAGCACTTCACTGTGAGGGCATTAGATATGACTGCTGTTACAAGATAAATTTTAGACAAATGAAATTTAGCAGAGTTAATTTGAGCAGAGACTGATTCATGAACCAGGCACCACTCAGAACCAGCAGAGGTTCAGAGACCGCCACCCAGCAACATGTGCAGGCAGTATTTATTGAGGGAAAAAGGAAGTGACTACAGAAACAGCTTGATGGGCTACAACTAGGCATTTGCCTTATTTGGGCATGGTGTGATGAGGCATTTGCCTTGAATGGACAGGCTGATCACTTGACTGCCTGTGATTGGATGAAGCCCAGCACTGTGATTGGCTGAGACTCAGCTATTTGTTATAAGACTGTATTCCTAAATTAGCTTGCAGTTTGTTTACATAGTAAGCTAGATTTCAGTTTGCTGCATAGAAACTCATGGTGTAGAGGCAGCCTTAGGCCAAATTTAGTTTAATTGAACACTACATTAGGCTGTAAATGACAGCAAACTTCTATCTATAGAGGCTTAAGCCAGGAAGGGGTTTATTTTTTCTTGTATAGGCAGTCTGGAGGTGGGCAGTGTAGGCCTAGAATGGTGGCTACAAGAGGCCATCAGTGGTCTCAACTGTCTCTTTTAATTTCTACCCCACCATCCTTAGACTGTGTCTTCATCTTCATGGCTTTGTGCTCACAAGATGGTTGCCCCACCTGCAGCACTACTTATGCATTCCAGGATTCAGGTTATGTACCCAGAAAGGGTGAAAGGCACTAACCAGGGTTCCTCTCCTTTCAAAAGCAGCCTTGGGCCAGGTGTGGTGGCTCCCACCTGTAATCCTAGCACTCTGGGAGGCCAAGGGAGGTGGATCACTTGAGCTCATGAGTTTGAGACCAGCCTGAGCAAGAGTGAGCACCCTGTTTCCACTAAAAAAAGTGAAAAACTGAGGCAAAAGGATTGCTTGAGCCCAAGATTTTGAGGTTGCTGTGAGCTATGACGCCATGACTCTCCATCAAGTATGACAACGTGAGACTCTGTCTTAAAAAAGAAAACAAAGTTCTGCTTTCTTCTGAAGTTATTTAAATAAATAAATAAGGGTGGCACCTGTGGCTCAAAAGGGTAGGGCGCTGGCCCCATATGCCAGAGGTGGCGGATTCAAACTCAGCCCAGGCCAAAATAAATAAATAAATAAAAAGTAGTCCTGGAAGCCCCACCAGTCAACTGTAGTAGAGAGTGGGAAAGATAGATTTTTCACCAAGCACATGGCTGTCCCAAATGAATCGAGGCTTCTGTTAATGAAGAAGAATGAGAAGGTGGGCATTGGGTAGCTGGGACGCAGGGGAGCTTGTGAATTCTCATGCAGAGATGTCCTGTGATTCAGAATTCTCACACTCCACTGTGTGTGCTTACTGTTTCCATAAGTTGGGTTTTCTAAATAGGAGGGCCCGTGAGTTAACATTTATTGGCTTCATTGCCTGAAATGATGCCAGTTGGATTTTCTTTCTTATTCTTGCCAGCCTGGAGGAGAACCATCTCCAGGATGAAGGTGTGTGTTCTCTGGCAGAAGCACTGAAGAGAAACTCAAGCCTGCGCGTCCTGAAGTAAGGAACCTGCCACTAGGAGCCAAGACGATAATGGTCGACCTTGGGTGGGGTGTTTCTGCACCAGAGAGTTGGGCAGCTTCCCAGCTGGGGCTTCTCACGGGAGGTGGCTTGCTAGAAAACAGCTTGTCTTGGTCTAGGGTAGGAAGGGTTCTAGTGCAAGTTGCTTGCTTGGGGAAACACTGGGGGGAGAGCAGTGAAGTGAGGTGGAAAAGGGAAGGTCACCAATTGAAAGAGATTCTGGAGCCAGTTATCATGGAGGGAAATTGAGCTCAGTAGCGCTGGGTCACTGCAGCAGCCAGCTCAGAATATACCTGGCTACCCACCCATCCAGGGCCAAGGAGGTAGGTGTTTATTCACCACCTGCCTGTCCTCCATATGTCAAGTTGTGCTTGTGTGTGCTGCATATCACCCTCCACAGCCGAGCCTGCTCCTGGTGTCAAGATAATGGGCTCAGGCAGAGTGTGGCTGGGCTTCCTAGCAAGCCGGGGGCAGAGAGCGGAGTGGAGCACCGTGGCTTCCGCGGTGCAGACTCAGTGGACCCAGGCCATAAGGAGGTGAGCAGTGGGTGTGAGTCCCACTAGTGACCATCATGTGCTGTATCTGTCCTCTCTGAGGCTGGTGCAAAGTTCCATCTCATAGGAACCTCAGGGAACCATTGGATGGCTACTTTTGTTAGAGGAAGGTGGTGTGTTTCCTTCCTCCTGACAAATGTGGCCTGAAGAAAACATGTGCCTTTAGAGACAGACTGTCTCTGTGAGCATGTTAACTTTGCTGCCAGACTGCCATCCACTCTGGGGATGTTTGTTTGTGTTGCTCTGCAGGGGCTGGGAAGTGGCCAGCTGTTTGGGGGAAAACACGTCCATTCATTGCTTGGGTGGAAGTGGGCTGTGAGGTCAGGGGATGCCCAAATATGTCCCAAGTCAGATGCCAGCTTTGCATGGTTGGGGGGGGCCCATTACTGACGAGGTATGGATATGGTGAGTTTGTTGTTCCTCACTGTCCTAGACTTACTCCACTTGACCCCAGCAGATGCCAGATAGTGGCACTGGGGTTGTCTCATGCCCCCGTCTCATCAGCCTTGCTATTCAGCATCCCAAACTGAACAGCATCCGCACAAAAACTGAACTTCTGATATATCGAGAGAGAGAGAGAGAGAGAGAGAGGTGCCTGCATTTTTCCTTTTCCAGCCTTAGTCTCTGCTAAGACTTGGTTAGGAGTCTAGGGCCTGGGACTAGACAGCCTTGGGCATGGTTACCAGCCATTTCTCCTTGGACCGATGCCTCAGTTGCCTACAGTGTAAATGGAGGCAATGATTGGCCCTTCCTCAAAAGGTTGTGGGCATTTAGTGATAGAATATAGGTAATGAGCTGGCACCTAGCAAAAACTCAACAAATACTGGCTATTATTGGTAGCAATGCCTTACGGTCAACTTGTAAGAAGTTGCTAAGATTGTGGGGTGGGGGAAGAAAGGAGGAGGACATCACCTAGAAGGCACAGCAATAAGCAGAGGAGCATCTTGGGGCCACATAGCTCTTCCCTTGCTCTCCCGGTCCTGTTCCGTCTCCCCTCCCCATTTCCAGCCACCTCATACTTTTTCGAATCTGAGTCTCCATCTCCCAAAGCTCCCCAGATGGAAACATTCACTGGTTATTTTATATCAGAGCTCCTGAGCCAAGTGCTTTAGCTATACAGACGGTGGCAGGTCTTCCTAGCAGGAGAGCACCTGGGACCGGAGGGGTTGGGGAGGGACTGTGGCTTCCTCTGGTGACAAACCCAGTGGCCAGGGACCTGTGCCACAGGAGATGATGGACAGCAGATGCGAAACCCAGCATGCTCAGCACCTGCCATGGATTGATTCTCATACTCTATGAGAGGGGTGCTCTTTGGGGCCTGTTTCATTGATGAGGAAGTTGAAACTGATTTGCTTGGGATCAAGAAGGAAGTGGTGCAGGTTGGATTTAAACCCAGGAAGTTTAGTACTGAAATGTAGCATCTTCCTAACGAAAGGATGACTTTTTAAATTTTTTTGTGAGACAGAGTCTCAGTCTGTCACCCTGGGTAGAGCATCAGCCTAGCTCACAGAAACCTCAAACTCGTGGGCTCAAGAGATCCTCCGGTCTCACCTCCCGAGTAGCCGGGACTACAGATGCCTACTGTGTTTCTCCAAAAATAAGACACTGTCTTATATTTATTTTTTCTCAAGAATACACACTAGGGCTTATTTTCAGGGGATGTCTTCCTCTCCATGTCTAAATGCATGACATGGCTATGCAGATTATGCTGCATAGCCACGCCCATCACTAGGTCTTATTATCGGGGTAGGGCTTATATTTAACAAATGCGTAGAAATCCTGCTATGGTTTATTTTTTGGTAGGTCTTATTTTTGGGGAAACACGGTACTAGTTTTTCTATTTTTAGTAGAGATGGGGGGTCTTGCTTTTGCTTAGGCTGGTCTTGAACTCTTGAGCCCAAGCAATCCACCTGGTGCCTTGGCCTCCCTGAGTGCTGGGATTACAGAGGTGAGCCATTGCCCTTGGCCTCAGGAAGGGGCTATTTAATTAGATTATCTAAATCTGGTCCATGGAAGAGAGAAAGAAGGTGCATTTTCACTGAAGGCATTGCACCTTGGCTGATGACCTCACTGGGAATCTCAGGCAGGAGAACATGTCTGGGAGACTGATGGGCCTCAGCAGGCTGGCTCCTGAAGCCTCCTGGACAATCTCAAGAGGAAAACCAAGAATCCCTGAAGTTCAACATTCCATTTGTCTTTTCCAGGCTGTCCAACAACTGCGTCACCTACCTGGGGGCAGAAGCCCTTCTGCAGGCCCTTGCAAGGAATGACACCATTCTGGAAGTTTGGTAAGGCCCGGGGCAGGCACAGTTTGCCTCTCTGAGCTTCAGTTTTTCTATCTGTGAAAGGGAATGAGGGAAAATAGGAATGTCCGAATTGTGAAGATCCCTTTTGATGGTGACACCCAGTGTCACTCTGTGTGTGGTGGCTCTAGTTCTCTGCCCAGGGAAGAACTCTTCACATCTTTAAGCAGGGAGCAATGCTTTCATTGTAAAAGTCTCCGCTGTTTATTCACAAACTTCTCTCTTCTTAGCAATGGAGTAGGGCAGCGCCTGTGGCTCAAAGGAGTAAGGCGCTGGCCCCATATGCCGGAGGTGGCGGGTTCAAACCCAACCCTGGCCAAAAACTGCAACCAAAACAAAACAAACAAGCAATGGAGTAGGAATGGGTGTGTGGCTGAAGAATGGGGAAAAAAGGGAAAGAGTCCAGCCCTTGCCCTCCTGGGCGCTGCCTCTGCCTTCGCTGGTCCAGGATGTTCTGCAGTTCTGGGCGGGGGTTACATAGCATGGGGACTATAGCACAGTGTGTCCAAGTCTTTATAATTAAAGCTGCAGTCCTTATGTGTTTGAAGAAAGCGTTGAGTCACAGCCTCAAAGATTTGTCCCCCTTGTTTCCAGAGACCTATTTCTCACCCAGAGAATGAGTAGAAGATTTTCCCCCGGTCTAACGTGCTGGAGTGAATGTTACTGTACACGTTCCAGGCACTGGGCTAGGTACCAGTATTTAAGAACTGAGAGATTTCTTATAAAATGTATTATTTCAGGCTTTCTCAAAAGAGCTGGTGACTCCGGATCCCCTCCAGAGGAGAGGAAGGGGCAGGCTTACTGTGTCTGATGGCAGAGCCACAAAGCCCACGTGGCTTTGACCAGTCCCTTTAAATCCTCATTGAGTACACTTGTGACCCCTGCTTTAAATATGTAGACCTTGTCCTTCTCTCAACAAGCATATCAAGGCAGCTGCAGATGTGAATATCAAATGACAATGTTAAAAACAAAAACTTCAGAAACATGACCTGTGTTGGAGAGATTTTTCTTTCAGTAGGGTTATATCATCGCTGCCAGCCTGTGAGGTCATCAGGTTCTGGGCAGAGTGCGGGTTCTTTTTTTGTGTTTGAAACCATGGCACAGTCCTAAGAAATGTCACATTCTGTATCTGGGGAGCAAATCAGCATCACATTGATATTTTAAGGGTTCTGATGTTATTTGCCGTCTGTTAATGGAGCTCGGGAGGGCACAGTGCATTCTTCACAGATTCTGTTGTTGCCTTAAAAAGAATTACCAGCCTTGGGGAGTCTGTGACCGGCTGGGTTCAGGGATGTGGACTCTCCCCCTGCAGAGTCACGGAGCCTTGTTCATCATGCAGAATGATTCATGAGCTGCCCTGGCTGACAGAGGATAAAAACAGCACAGAGTTCCCTCCCAGGAGCGCTGCAGCTGGGCCGGAGGGTCAGCCCGTCCCAGGCATGGATTTAAAAAGTGGCAGCTTCCGTTTGAAAGCACTGCTCTAATTTTGTCCTCACTCAACCCTCTCTTTGCTTGATCTCCTTTAGGCTCCGAGGAAACACTTTCTCTGGAGAGGAAATTGAGACGCTCAGCCACAGGGACGGCCGCCTCTTGCTGTGATGTCTCCAGGCTCCTGTTCCTTTGTTTGCGAGAAAGCCGGTGCTTTGGGCCCCAGAAGCTGGATTCCATCTGGCAGGGGCCTGTTCAGTCTGAACCCCCTCCTGCCCAGGGCTGAATTCGTGTTCTGGGAACACACTAGGTCACCTTTATTCTGGTGGAGGAAGGAGCATCAGTGCCCTCCAGAACAGAATTTTCCCAAGCCTATGTTTCACTTTGGCTTCTTCTCCAGAATCAGTGCGGGGTGGGGAATGCCCCTCCTCCGTAGTACGGGGCTGGCCTCCAGCTCATCCTCTGGGGGCCTATGGATATGCCTGTTAACTAAGCCTCTATTGTGGTAGAGCCCTACTGGCCTCATGGGGAAGACCCCTTCTCATTCTTCTCATGAAGAAGACAGGTATGCAAGAAGCATCTTTCTACCAGGTTGACCCATAGACCATCTATCCGGGCCATTCCCCACCTGAGGTTCCCTCCACTTGTCCTGGGTTTGTCCATGCTCCTTCCTTTGAGGTTCAGCTACAGAATACCAGTGATCTCAGCTTTCATATTTTGCTTTCACACCCTCGACCCTGGCACCCAGGGTGGCAAGGGCTGCAACTTAGCCTGCTTTCCTTTGCAGTGCTTTGGATATTGTTGGATGGGGACACATGACAGCCATTTGTTCCCCCAAACATTCTGGATTTGCAAGCAAAATATGACCACACTCCAGCTGGTTTCACACGTGGACTTTTATTTCCAGTGAAATCAATTACTTTTCAGTTAAGCCTTTGGAAATGGCCCCACTTTAAAAAGCTCCAAATGCAGCTTTTTAAAATTAATCTGGGCCAGAATTTCAAACGGCCCCACTAGGCTTCTGGTGGCCGCCTGTGAACTGAACTCTGACAACAGACTTCTGAAATAGATCCGTAAGAGACAGTTCCATTTTATATGGGCCAGAGTGCTTTAGGGTGTACAGTTATGGATTTTAAGTTTACAAGGGCAAAATCAGGCTGTTCCTCCTAAGCAAATGTCTTTCTGGATTTTTCAAAGTGATGCTTGTTGAAGCATTTGTAAATTGTCAGGGGCTGTGCAAATGTTATTCTCTTAAACATTATTATGTGTGAAACTGGTTAATATTTATAGATGACTTTGTTCTATTCTCCTAAGTTTATACTTTTATAGACAACATGACCATGAACTTATTGTTGTACATAATCACAGAGGAATAAATTATTGAGTCACCGCAGCCCTTTTCATTGTGACCACACAGTTTTAAGTAGTCCTAAAACTTGTTGAATTTTAAAGCACAATTTTCTGCTGGAAGGGGGGAAAATGATGTGTTCAACCAGATAATTTACTGCTTAAGGCAAAAGCAATTCTTAGGAATAAGCCAGCAATCAAAACACATTTGGCTTCCACTTAGAAAAGTCTAGCCCAGCAGGAAGTTTTAGGCTGTGCCGGAGACTCCAGCCTCCTCACTCAAAAAGGCCCCTAGGCCTCCCTCGATCTCTCCAAGTGCCTTCAGGAGTCTTTAACGGGAGAAAAGCGGAGGGTATTTGTGTACAGCTCTCCGCTGCCAGTGTCTCTGGTGCAGGTCTTGTATTGGAATAATTCTTAGCTGCATTTAATGAGCCAGGGCTCAGGTGGCTGCTCACCAGAGTGAAGTCGCACTTCCTTGAAAGGTTTTGTGTGTCAGGGCCTCCTGCATCTGTGTGTGTCTGTGGGCTCTTTGTTGTTGGTGTGGTGTTCTGTGCCCACCACTGTTTCTGGGACAGAAGATCAGATGGGGAGGAAGATAGGAGAAGCGTCTGCCGTCCAGGAGAAAACACAGTTGCCCGTCTGCATAGCGCCACGTTGGGTTATGAATTCCTCTTAGTTCATTCAGCAATGATTCACCAGTTAGGAAAATCAGTGGATGGACGAAACAGATGTGGTCCCTGTCCCCAGGCACGCAGGAAAGAAAGGGTGGAGGGAGAGGCAGGCAGAGAACAAGTAACCTGGAATATACATAAACTGAGGTCTTTGGCCTGTTGAGGGTTGTTCCCAGACAGGTTCTCTGGGGAGGTGCCAGGTGAGCTGGGTCCCCAAGAATGAGAAGTGTCTGCCCATGTAAATGGGTGAGGGGGGTACAGGGGTGCATCACAGTCACCAGGAGCAAGCTGCACAAAAACCCTGATGTGGGACAGAGTTTGTGTGCCTGGTAGCTGAATAACGAAGCCCAGCGCTATCCAGATCGTAATCCCCGGGACCTGTGAATGTTACCTTGCACGGCAAAAGAGACTTTGCAAATGTGATTAAGTTAAGTCGATCTTGAGCTGGGAAGATTATAGTGGCTGACATGGGTGGGGGCTGTAAATGTATTTGCAGTGTCTTTAAAAGAGAGAGGCAAAGGAGAATTTGACACGGGAGAAGGCACTGGACCACTAAAGCAAGACATGACAGGCTTCTTAGGTAGAGAAGGGGCCGTGAGCCAAGGAACGCAGAATCTAGAAATTGGAAAAGGCAGGGAATCAGGTTCTGCCCTGGAAGCTCTGGAGGGAGCGTAGCCCTATCTGCCTTGCTGCTAGCTTACTTAGGACTTATAATATCCAACTGTGAGAGAATAATTTGTAAGGGAAACTGATAAGGCATGTTTTAGGCAAACCAAGGGAAGGGTGTCACACATGGGTCAGCAGAGAAGTAGGGAGGGCTGGTTCAGGAAGGGCCTAGGTGGCCATGGTCCAGTTTGGTCTGGATCTTAGAATAATGGCAAGCCATGGAGAGTTGTAAGCAGGGAGAGGCAACCCATTTTCCAGTTAAAGAAGATATCTGTGGCTCCTGGGTGGAGAGGGGACTGCAGGACATGGGGTGAGATGGGGGCAAGTGAAGGGACCATCTAGGAACTGCTGTAGGCAAGAGGCAGTTGCCAGTGGAGGGGAGAGAAAAGAGTGGATTCTAGAGACATTCTGGAGGGAGATTCCCAAGGACTTACAAATGGATTGGAGGAGAGGGTTGAGGGGAAGGGGAAATCCAGGGCGACTCACAGACTTCTGACTTGAGTGACAGGGGCACTGGGGAGGACCAGCAGGAGACAAGTGTGGAAGGGGAGAGACTTCTGTTTCGGATCGTCATGTTTGAGACATCTAATAGAGACATCACGTGGAGATGTTAAGTGGTGGTATGACTTTGGGGACCATGGGCAAGGTTATGGCCAGGGATAACAGTGCGGGAGTCCTTGGCATCAAAATGAGGATGGGACCCTCAAGCCTGGATGACATAACCCAGGGAGCGATTGTGGAGGAAGAAGAGGCCCGAGGGCCCAGGTGAGGATACTGAGATCTTGATAAGTGATGACTGACGGAGTTCAGAGTGGGAGGAACTTCCTAACTTCCTAACTTTCAGAAGTCCAGCAGATACCACTGAAAGCATTTTGGGCCTGGTAGGTAACTAGTGAACTAGGATTTTTGATTTTAAAGTTCTCTGACAGGGAAGTTACCTGGACGGTGTGTGCTCATGGCCAGTGGCTTATCCGGGAGCAAACAGATTCCAGTTTTGTGGCTAAGAATACATAATTCTTATGCACAAAACAACAAGACATTAGAGTGGGAGATTTTTAAAAAGAGCCTCAGATTTTAATTATATTCATCATCGTCCTGGAAGAAAAAAGATGCCAATCTGAGTGTCCTCCCCCAGCCATCGTGCCAAAACAACATGCTGAAATGAATATGCCCCACGGAAATGTGAGAGGTGGAATCATATTCCCAGCGGGCTGAGTGGCGACTAGAGCTTCCTTCCATTATTGTACCAGGACAACTTCAAGCCTCTCTCTTTACTTAGGTGATTGGTCCAGCCTCATGGGAGAAACACACACACAGGACAACACCTGGTAATGCCCACCAGGGGCAGGGTGCGGAGCCCTGGGTGGTGAGTTACAGGTGGACAGCAAGATCTAAAAGGACATTCCCCTTGGAGAATTATGTGGGAGGAGGCTACAGCTGGACAGACAGGCAATCCAAGATCTTTGACTTGCGTTTTTCCAGGATGCTTTTATATTGCTTTAAATTGAATCCCTAACATTTTCCAAATAATGCAGTCCTCTAAGCTTTGCTTTTCCCTAATCACTCATCCCGAGATGATGCCTTCTCAGGAGGGCTACATCCCTTTTTTATTTGTAAGAACCTCTGTCTTGCTATCTGCAGTTCCACATCCCTCTCTGCCCTTCCTTCTCATCTGCTCTGTCTGTATCCCCAGAAAATGAGCGGTTCTTTTGGGACGCACCCTTGCCTGGGTGACTGCTGCAGCCTCCTGACTAGGGTCCCTGTTTCTGCCCTTGATGGAGGGTGTGAGCCTATGAAAACATACATCAGATCAACCTCTTCTCTGGTCTGAACCCTCCAGGACTTCCTGTCTGGTGTAGGGTAAACGTCAAGGTCTCAC